ATCAGCTGCCTCCTGCACACTCCCTACTGGGGATGTGCCCGCAACCAAGGTACATGCCCTTGACTGGAATCGAACCTGGGACCTTTCAGTCCACAGGCCGACGCTCTATCCACTGAGCCAGACCGGTTAGGGCCATGACGTGGTTTTAGATCAGACAGGCACTGACTGAGCTGGACATGTCCCAGCTTTCCCAGAGGCTCCAGTCCCGACGGGTGGCCGCACAGCTGTGTGGGACCAGCTGCCTGGAAGGCAAGCATAGCCCTTCTCCTAAGCCTATCATGGCGTCACGGCTCTTCCCACCCTAAGGCCCGTCCTGGAGCAGAGCAGGCTGGGAAGCCAGGCAGACCTGGCTGGCATCTTGACCACTGAAGTAACCGGCTATGTGGTCTGGAACACAGTTTCTGAACCTCAGTTTTCAAAGACTCTGAATATGATTGATACGCTATTGGGCATTTGTGTTTTAAATCCCACGTTGAGTATCCACGAGGCACTGAAGTAAAGAGGAAGAAGAGTTTTGACTAATTTTGGGGTCCCCCCATCTACATAAAGCCAGAGAATGTAAATTTCTCTTGGTCAGTATATATTGTGTAAGGCATTAGTCCTCAAAGATTTTGCTGCTGTATGCCCTGATGTCATTGTGGATATATTTGGACTCCTATGTGCATTTTAAGTTTCCATCACATTTTATTTTGATCATAAGTTTAAGTAGTTGTAGAGGCCATCCTTGGTATTTTCTAAGTGAATATGTGCTTTCTGTACATTTCTTTCAAAATCCTGGAGTTGCCAATCTAGCTTATTCAATGTATTATGAGTCTATTCTCTAATCTATTGCCCAAGTTTATCCTGGTGGCCAAACTAACCAGTCAAGTAAGGCGATTTCTGTTAGAAAAAAGTGGCCTGACCCCATTACTTGCGTTAATCCCTGTCCCTGCAGCGGTCATCTCGCTTTTGATTGCTTAACGAGACAAGTGAGACGGGAGCCCTGGCCAGTGGGTCTCCGGATGGAGTCAGGAGCAGCCGCTTCTTCAGATGCTTCTGAGCTTTAGTCCCCAGTGCACGGTGCACTCGGGAGTAGACCCCTGGCTGGGCCCAGAGCGGTTTCCTCCGGGGGCGTCGCACCGCAGTGGAGTGCAGACCTTGGCCTCACACGATGGTGCAGGCGTGGGGAGGAGCCTCCATCGTTTGTTTTCTCACACGGGCCTGGGGCCGGAAACCCAGAAAGTGGTTTCCTTGGCATGTTCTGTTTCCACACCGTTGGGCGAGTCTTTGTCTCTCCCCAGAGCACAGACCCCCCAGAGCGGAGATGTCTGGATAAGAAACATGCTACCTGCTCTGGTCCGGCATCGGGGCTACGGAAGCAATAGGGCAGGAGTGAGGGGAGCAATAATCTTATTCTTGGGAGGAATCATCTTAATCTTCTCAGTTTGAGTTATTAATAAGTAAATAAACTATTGCAGTAAATTGTAAGTAAAATAATAAAGTAAGATTTTAAAAAGGTATTGTTCATTGCGAATAGCGTGGGCATATAGAACACCACTGTTTGAGAATTAATGTTGAAAGAGTGATATCCTGTTATTCTCGTCAGGGTGACCGTGGAGACCCTGGACCTGCGGGTCTGCCGGGCTCTCAGGGTGCCCCGGGCACTCCCGGCCCCGTTGGCGCCCCTGGAGACGCAGGACAGAGAGGAGACCCGGTAAGGAGAGGCCATTTCACTGGCAGCGACTAACATCGATGCTCTGCATTAGGAGCCGCTTGAACGCATGCGTACAGTCACCCATGTGCCCTTGACTAGAGCTACTTGGACGCATGTGTACAGTCACACATGTGCCCTTGACTAGAGCTACTTGCACACATGTGTACAGTCACCCATGTGCCCTTGACTAGAGCTACTTGCACACATGTGTACAGTCACCCATGTGCCCTTGACTAGAGCTACTTGCACACATGTGTACAGTCACCCATGTGCCCTTGACTAGAGCTACTTGCACACATGTGTACAGTCACCCATGTGCCCTTGACTAGAGCTACTTGCACACATGTGTACAGTCACCCATGTGCCCTTGACTAGAGCTACTTGCACACATGTGTACAGTCACCCATGTGCCCTTGACTAGAGCTACTTGCACACATGTGTACAGTCACCCATGTGCCCTTGACTAGAGCTACTTGCACACATGTGTACAGTCACCCATGTGCCCTTGACTAGAGCTACTTGCACACATGTGTACAGTCACCCATGTGCCCTTGACTAGAGCTACTTGCACACATGTGTACAGTCACCCATGTGCCCTTGACTAGAGCTACTTGCACACATGTGTACAGTCACCCATGTGCCCTTGACTAGAGCTACTTGCACACATGTGTACAGTCACCCATGTGCCCTTGACTAGAGCTACTTGCACACATGTGTACAGTCACCCATGTGCCCTTGACTAGAGCTACTTGCACACATGTGTACAGTCACCCATGTGCCCTTGACTAGAGCTACTTGCACACATGTGTACAGTCACCCATGTGCCCTTGACTAGAGCTACTTGCACACATGTGTACAGTCACCCATGTGCCCTTGACTAGAGCTACTTGCACACATGTGTACAGTCACCCATGTGCCCTTGACTAGAGCTACTTGCACACATGTGTACAGTCACCCATGTGCCCTTGACTAGAGCTACTTGCACACATGTGTACAGTCACCCATGTGCCCTTGACTAGAGCTACTTGCACACATGTGTACAGTCACCCATGTGCCCTTGACTAGAGCTACTTGCACACATGTGTACAGTCACCCATGTGCCCTTGACTAGAGCTACTTGCACACATGTGTACAGTCACCCATGTGCCCTTGACTAGAGCTACTTGCACACATGTGTACAGTCACCCATGTGCCCTTGACTAGAGCTACTTGCACACATGTGTACAGTCACCCATGTGCCCTTGACTAGAGCTACTTGCACACATGTGTACAGTCACCCATGTGCCCTTGACTAGAGCTACTTGCACACATACGTACAGTCACCCATGTGCCCTTGACTAGAGCTACTTGCACACATACGTACAGTCACACATGTGCCCTTGACTAGGACTCCAAACCAAGAATGACAAACAGTTCATTATGAGTTAATTCTCTTAGTCTTCGAGGCAAACATTTGATTTCTAATAGATATTCAAAAATTCTGATGCTTTGACTTTCACCACCTAAAATGTTGTGATTTATAGGAAATCGTGTTAAATTTAAGCAAGTACTGCTTCACCAATTAATAAAACTGATTATAGAGTGTCATTGGAGTGAGATGAGCACATTCTTATACCAGGGACATTAGCCTGGTTTTCATTAATTAGCCAGAAGAGTATGCATAGGTACACATAAACTTAGTAAATATCCAACTACAAATATGTCTTTTAAATTCTATATCTACATAGTATATGCACTTGTTTTTTTTTACCAACTTTTGTGAAAATTTCTTCTAGGGTTCCCGGGGTCCCATAGGGCCACCTGGTCGAGCTGGGAAGCGTGGCTTACCTGTAAGTTCTGTTTTTCTTTAGAAAATGATGTCTTCTTTCATAAAATACCCTCCCAAAGAAAAAGTACAATTTAAGGTTTATAAATTACCAAATTTCTCAAGCTATGGATTCTTTCAAATAATCAGTAAAGATTCTTAGAGTCACAGTTGTCTCCCAAAATAATAGGAATACCCTTCTTTCTGAGATTTTCTAAAAATCACATAATGGGTTTAAAAGCTCTCTGTAAGTTTAAAAAGCTGTAGTCAATATTATGTTTTATTTTCAATGAGATTCCACTGCCCGTGTTCAATTCTTTTGCTACTTGCAGTTACTTCCAGGTCAGAGAGCCTTACACAGATGTCTTACTGGGAATGAATTATTTCTATAGGCGGTCTCTTCTGTTCCTCTCACACCTGTTATATAAATCCATATCAATATTTATGAAGATCATGGCCTATTATTAGATCACAATTCTCACTTTCGATTTGAGCCTGGCTAGAGAGGATTTCATAGTTCCATAGCATGTTCAAGTCAAACGTTTTCTAGCCAGTTACAAAAACAATCTAGTTTCATTTTTCATTATTAAATGAATTTTAGTTAATAATAACAAGTAGGTGCTTTCTGGTTTAGTTTATTTTCAATTATGAAATTTTGGAGCATTCCCCAAGTAAAAGAACCTCTCTAACATTATGAAAGCATTCAGGCTGATTTTAGTACGTAATATATTTTTATTGATTTCAGAGGGGAAGGGAGAGGGTTAGAAACATCAATGATGAGAGAGAATTATTGATCGGCCGCCTCCTGCACTCCCCTCACTGGGGATTGAGCCCCGCAACCTGGGCATGTGCCCTGACCAGGAATTGAACCATGACCTCCTGGTTCATAGGTCAATGCTCAACCACTGAGCCATGCTGGCTGGACTGATTTTAATATTTAAATTTACAACGTTATATAAAATATAAAAAGTTACTGAGATTTAGTCTTGCTTTTATTATAAAAAGGTTTTCATACTGTTTGACAATTAGGATATCCAAATTAAAAAAAAAAAGAACCATACAAAATAAGAACAAAAAACTGGTAAGGAAAAATATTAACCCAAGAGCCTGTCTGTTTGGTGGTCTCTTTCATCCTCCAGTTCTTTTCTAGGAGAGCTGCCGACAGCACAGCTCCCCCACATAGGTGACCTTGTCAGTTTACCGTGAGCTTGGGACCCAGAGCTGCGGTTGTCACTTAAGACTTAAGAAACAGGAAAGAAAGAATGAAAGGAAAGGAAGGAAGGACCCCGAGACTGATTAGATTGATCAGATAATTTTCACCTTTTCTCTCCGTGTAGCTTCTATCCCATAAGAAGATTCTTAATTATTGCTTTTCCTTTAGTTTCTCAGGATCAGAATTGATGCATCTACTCTCAGTAACTTTCCAGTATGACCAGTTTTTTAATATAGTCCCAGCTGTCATGTCCAGTTTATCTGCATATGCAAACTTAATAAGCATTTTCTTTTTAGAGGTAGCGTAGTAAATAAGGACTCATGTTTTGCTTTTAAAGAAGCTATTTATGGCAGCAATATTTTCACATGATAGCAGCCGAGTATGTGAAATACAGTCTTTGAAACTGTTTTAGATAAGAAAGACCAACTTAAAAATACATCATTTTAGTATAACTATAGGATAAACATTAAAAAACTAACTCTTAGGAAAGCATTATTAAATGCATTATGTTTTAATTATTACCTTCATTCCAAAAGGCAAAAATTTCTAGGTCTGATTCCATTTATATAAGTAAATATGTTCATATAAAGTGTAGTACTCAAAATAACAGTAAATACAATTGTAAAAGGTAAAATTGTAGGAAATTGTAGTCTCAACAGGCAATACCCATGCATGACCCTGTTTCTAGGGACCCCAAGGGCCTCGCGGTGACAAAGGCGATCACGGGGACCGCGGCGACCGGGGCCAGAAGGGCCACCGGGGGTTCACCGGTCTTCAGGGACTTCCCGGGCCTCCTGTAAGTAACTTCCCCACCAATGACCTGCCCTCCGTGTGAACATGCACAGCTGTCCTGACATGGACACTTGTCGTGAAATGGATGGACGTTTTGTACCTTACTGTCCTTTCAAAATAATGAGTTACCCACCTGGCCACCGTCATTGCCATTTGTGAGCTGTGACTTTGTAGGAAAGACATGAACCCAAAGGGTATGTCCACCGTTCCTCCTGCGCTGTCGTTACTTTGGGGCAACTCAGGAAGACCTTTGGAGACATGACTGTGCAAGCAGTTGATGCAGCTGATGTCAGTGGCAGTGGATTTTAACCACCGAGGCCGGCAGAGTGCAGGATGGGAATATTTTGGTAACATTTTACATGTTTTTCCCACTTAGGGTCCAAATGGTGAGCAAGGCAGTGCTGGGATCCCTGGACCATTTGGCCCAAGAGTGAGTAACTGAGCTGAACCAGGTGTAAACGGCGATGCTTGCAATGATGTCCTTCGAGAGCCCGAGTAGCATTTCACAGGTTGAAGCGAGAATGGCCCAGGTTCTCTGAAGCAGGCAGCCAATGCATGAGAGAAGCCGGTCGGCAGTCACCTCTAAGTAGAAAGCCCTGTGCTATGACGTGGTATTTCATGGTCCCACATTAACCTCTCTCCTGCGGTGAATGCACTCATCGATGGGCCATCCTTCCCCGTGCTCACTGACATGCCCGTTACTTCGCGCTCGTGGAGGTGATCTCACAGGACTGCCGTGCAGCGGAGGCAGGGCTGGCTGTTCTGCGGCTGAGTGTGTTTTTTAAGGAACTGGGGTCCTTCCTCAGAGTGTTTGGCTTAAGGCTAATTCAGAAGCAAATCATAAAATGAAACCAACATTTGTGGCTTTTAGAAATTCCACATCAGTATTCATGCTGCCCCTAATAGGTCATTACTGTCATAACATAATTGACCGACATAATTGTTAGGAAAATCATTAGAATTTCTGCTATGTCTAAATCTAGTGTAAACAAAACATTTTGGGAGAGTAGTATTAAAATTGTTAGGATGTCATGAGGTACTTGTATAAACACACAAACATAACTTATAATTATATTAATCACTTCACCTTCTGCCTTTTTCTTACTCCTAGTTCACTGAATTTATAACTGAGTTTACAATACATGAGATTTGATGAAATGGTCCCAATACTAATAAAAGTAGATGACGAGTCCATTAAAGGTTTTAACTGCTGCTGGTCTTTTATGTGCACGGATAAAAATTGATGTGCGATGAAATAGTAAAGTAGGAATGTTCTGGAACTCCATTCGTTAGTCATTAGGATCTGAATCTGAGAAACTGCTGTGATAGTTCATCAGGAAAATGGTTCTTTGTTTAGAGAAGGGCGCTGTGGGAGTTTTCTCAGAGAATCTAACATCCAGTTTTGTTTCTCGCAGGGTCCCCCGGGCCCAGTGGGCCCCTCAGGGAAGGAAGGAAACCCCGGGCCCCTGGGCCCCATCGGGCCTCCTGGAGTGCGGGGCAGCGTCGGGGAGGCGGGGCCCGAGGTGAGTCACAGGGTGTGCGTGCTAAGGCTCTGCTGGTCCTCACAGCCGGGGCCCAGCGTGGACGCTAAGGCTCTGCTGGTCCTCACAGCCGGGGCCCAGCCGTGGACGAGGGACAGAAGGGACTCTGAGAACAAACCTGAAAGTCACAGGAGAGCTTGTCTGTAGAAGTAACTGTTTCAGCTCTTTAATCCAGATCGTTCAGAGCCGGTAAAATCAGAATCCAACGTGCTGGGCCTCCTTTCATGGGCACCGATGAGAGCAGAGAGCGCGGCGTGCTGGGTCCTGATGGAGCTCGGGGGAGTCGCCTGGCCTTCATGGCAGTTCACTAAGTGTGAGGCAGATGAGTGTAGTCGCTCATGAAAATGCTGCAAAGTGAAGAGTATGAAATCTGAGCTTTTCTCTATTGCAAATGACATTAGGAAGGATTTCAATGAACATTTTCATCACAATATTCCAATAGTGCTGACTTGAGGGTTATGTAAACTGTGTTAGGCTGTGGCTTCTCCAGTCGTTGGGACCCTCCTCATCTCTCTTCCTCTTCGGTCTGATTGACCTGTCCCTCTTTATTCTGACTCTGCCCCTCACTGGCCATTAAACTGAATATTTATTACTTATTTTATGAAATGAAAAGCCTTATGTTTCCCATGGTCCAGAGGAATATTCCCTATTTTTTCTCTATGGGCGGAAAACAGCCGGAAGTGCCATTCCTCTGACTTAATGGCCCTCCACTGACTTTATGTGGCGGTTCACTCGTCCTCGCTAGGAAAAACCTCCTGAGATTGGTGTAAAGGAACTCACGGGCCATGATGTGATCTTAAAAGTGAACCCAACAGGTGTCACAGGCTCTTGAGGTGAGGAAAGGCTGAAGCAACTTGTCCAGAGCCAGCTCCTCAGGGGCGGACTCCAGCCTTGTCTGCCAGCGGGAGCTCCCAGGTGAAAGGTGACCACACATCTTCCAGCTTTTCGGATGAGTCTTTGGTTAAGGGAAGGGCTAGAGAGCCCGGCCGGTGTGGCTCAGTGATTGAGCATCGACCTATGAACCAAGAGGTCATGCTTTGATTCCCAGTCAGGGCTCATGTCCAGGTTGCAGGCTTGATCCCCAGTGTGGGGCGTGCAGGAGGCAGCCGATCCATGATTCTCTCTCACCGTTGATGCTTTTCTCTCTCTCCCTCTCCCATCCTCTCTGAAATCATTAAAAATATTTTTTAAGAAAGGCTAAAGAGAACATTCTTAAATTTTGTTTAGCACACAGAATTTTGATCTACACATTAGTTTGAACACTTAAGACTTCCCGCCTTCCCCCTTATTTGAAAATAGGGGACAGTTGTCTTGTGGGTGTTCGTTGTGGGTATGTCCTTGGTATTGACGTGCAATCTTACAGAACGGGGACCCACAGTCCTCTGCATCCGCCCTTTCGGCGTCTGTCACAAATCCTGTGAGACATTGTAGTTGGCCTTGCCCCCAATCGTCTGGAAATGAATGGCCACAGCTGCATATTTAACATAAACTCTGTTCATCTTCAGGGTGAACATCAGAGCACACACTTGGTGCTCTGAGCTTGCTGTAGCTCAGATGCCGACTTGCAGGCCTGTTGCCTGGGAGGTAGTTCTGCGTCACTCTCTCCCTTGGGAGGTTACAGGCTGGCAGGCAGAGCCCTCAGGTTAAAGGGCGCGACTCCCAGGTCCCTGCACCATCAGGCCGGCTGTAACTCCCTGGGCACCAAGTCCCAGCAGTGCCTTGTGTCCAATGAAAAACAAAACAACAAGCGTGTTCATGTGTTTCCAATGTTCTTACCCATCAGGGTCCTCCGGGCGAGCCTGGCCCGCCTGGCCCTCCGGGTCCCCCGGGCCACCTCACGGCCGCCCTTGGGGACATCCTGGGGCACTACGATGAGAACATGCCAGACCCCCTCCCCGAGTTCACGGAGGACGAGGCGGCTCCTGACGACAAGAACAAGACGGACCCCGGCGTCCACGCCACCCTCAAGTCCCTCAGCAGCCAGATCGAGACCATGCGCAGCCCCGACGGCTCTAAGAAGCACCCGGCCCGCACGTGTGAGGACCTGAAGCTCTGCCACTCCGCCAAGCACAGCGGTGAGTGCTCCGCGTTCCTGACCGGGTTGTTCTCAGCTGCATCCCAGCCACGATTCCCTGACCGCCTTCCAGACATGTAGTGACGCCGAGAGAGGACATGGTCACCATGTCATAGAGTTTGTGGTTTAGCGGGGGACCGCCAATGACATGAAGAACAGGGGGTGAGACGATAAATACGCTGAGAGAGGACACATCCTGTTAATGATCTAACCTCCTCCTGGCAGTGCCGTTGCCATCCAGAAGTCGTAACAATCGGTGATTTTGTGGTGCTGTGACGTGGAGAACACTTGCTGAAGCAAGGCTGGCTTTGACCTACCTCCATGACTTCACAGGGGTTTAATATGCTCACATGTATCATTGGGCCTTCAAGAGTAGAATGAAGTTTATTTTATTTCCCAAACTTATTTGACGATGAAGTAACTTTCATGCAGTTTAATGTTCTATAAATACAGCTTTAAGGATCTCTGCTGGCAGAAGTATATGTTAATACAAAGTATTTTGGAATTAAGTAGTCGTTCTGTCCTCGTGGTGTAAACCATGCCTTAATTTTGCAGTATTCTGTCATTTTGATTAATCTAATCAGACCTGGAGAAAAGGGATTCTGGGCCATAAGAAGAAGCTGTGAAATGCTCAATGGCTCCAGTTAACTTTGAAATGACATTGACAGGGAGAGCTGAAATGACCTGTGAGGACTCGGCAGTTTATTCTCAGCTCCATACTTTACAGCCACCAACGTCTCTACATTTTATTTAAAACGCAGTACCTATTATATATACACACATACAAGTATACATACACACAGATAGATGCACAAGAACATATTTATTTGTGTATTTGACTACGTGTCCAGCACCAAGCACTAACTTGGTATAACCTATTTCAAGTATCTCTCAGATATAATAGAGATCAATTCTAACTGGGCCAGTGAGATGATTTATAACATTCTAATCACAGTTTAACTCATATACTTACTATATCGATAGTTTTGACAATACATGACTCGCATCATGTTTGAAATTCACTTTTCTTAGCAAATATGTTTACTTTGGAAAACAGGCGAATACTGGATTGACCCTAACCAGGGGTCCGTGGAAGACGCCATCAAAGTTTTCTGCAACATGGAGACGGGAGAGACGTGTATCTCAGCCAACCCGTCGAGCATCCCCCGGAAAACCTGGTGGACCAGCAAGTCGCCCGACCACAAGCCCGTCTGGTACGGCCTCGACATGAACAGAGGAGCTCAGGTAATCGCAGCCGCTCGCTTACAATTGCATGTTTGCTCTTCACTCTTTATTACGCCTCAGGGTTTATTTAGGACCATGTTGTTATTTTTTGACCAGATTTATTTTACCATGTTAATTTTAAAGTCATATATTCTCATTAGTTGCCATTGCTGTATCATTGCATAAACAAAGTTTTAGTATGAATTAAATGAACATAAATTGTGCATGGAGATTTTTTCATTGGTGGGATGTAGGAAGTAATTATTTTATCATCAGTTCCTTAATGCCTGTCACGCTGACTGTGAGGTATACGTGAAGGGGTCTGGCCCCTGAAGGACAGAAGACCTAGGTGACTGGACCCTGGATGGGGACAGCAGGACGCCACTCACCTTCCAGCCTCAGGCTCTCATTGTGAAGTGTGGGTGACCATATCTATTTCATAGTCTTTGTGTGAATATAATGTCCTTCTATAGTATCCAATACCTGGTAAGTTATCTACAATAATAAAAGCGTAATATGCTAATTAGACCAGACATCCTTCCGGACAACCTTCCGGATAAAGCCAGGGCTTCGAGGGAAGCCCGGGTCCCGGGTGCCAGAGGAAAGCTGGTGCTGGCAGCCGGGGGAAGGAAGGCCTACTCTTGCACGAATATTGTGCATGGAGCCTGTAGTAAATAAATATTATATAATTACTATAAGTATTCATATAATTAAATGACTTTAGATGTAGCATTGCTTAAACTGAATGTATTTTCGTGATGATATGAAGTCTGTCAGTATTTTTCTGAGTATATGCTTCTTTTATGGCCCAGGATTTAGAGTCTCCACCAGCCTTGCCACCTCCTTCCACAATATGAGCATTTCATTCTGGGTCTCTTTACGGCACCCTAGCTCTGAAACGTCCTTCTCACTCTACTCCTGCTCTCTCCTCAGAACTCATGTTCATGATAAACATAATGTGAGCATATTATGGGTCTGAGTAATTTATACCAGAATCTACCATTATTTAATGAGCAGAAAAATTTTAAATGTACCCAATTGAAAGGTAATTCAGTGAATATAATATTATGTAAAGAGCTCAAAAGGGAGCATTGAAAATAAACCTCAGAGTAGAAGATGAATGAGAAAGAGCCTGAAGGAAATTATTTTGATTATTTGTTTTTGTTAGCTAATGAAAGACTTGTAATTCATATTTCCTACCACGTATAACAGTTGGGTTAAAAATATTTTATGCTGCCATAGCTGGTTTGGCTCAGTGGATAGAGCATTAGCCCTGGGACCAAAGGGTCCCTGGTTTGATTCTGGTCAAGGCACGTCCCTTAGTTGCAGGCTCAATCCCTGGCCCTGGTCAGGGCGTGAGCAGGAAGCAACCAATCGATGTGTCTCTCTCACATCAATGTTTCTCTCTCTGTCTCTTCCCCTCCTTTCCTCTCTCTCTAAAAACCAATGGACAAATATCCTCAGGTGAGGAGTAACAACACCAAAAATACTTTATACAAATAGTTAAGTCCTAAATCTTAATATAATTAGTAATAAAAACAATGAGTTATTTTTGATTCATGATTAAATATCCAAGCCAATGTTCAAGTACATAACTTCTTCTAAAAATAATATTCCAGAGATTTAAAAATACATAAACTTTCTCTGATGAGTGTAATGATCATTGGTTTCTTCACCTGCTGTTTTGGCGAGTGAGGGCAGAGGTTTTTACTGATGAACAGTCATTAGCATTTTAAGGTACTTTTTAAAAGTAGAATATTCTGTGACATGACAGAATAGAAGTAATACTCTTCAAAATTAATTTACCTGAAATCAACACACACGCACATTCTCTCTCTCTCTCTCTCTCTCTCTCTCTCTCTCTCTCTCTCACACACACACACACGCACACACACACACCATTCTCTCTCTCTCACACACACGCACACGCACACGCACACACATTCTCTCTCTCTCTCACACACACACACACGCACACGCACACGCACACACATTCTCTCTCTCACGCACACACACACACACACACTTTCTCTCTCTCTCACACACACGCACACGCGCACGCACACACATTCTCTCTCTCACGCACACACACACACACACACTTTCTCTCTCTCTCACACACACGCACACGCGCACGCACACACATTCTCTCTCTCACGCACACACACACACACACACTTTCTCTCTCTCTCACACACACGCACACGCGCACGCACACACATTCTCTCTCTCACGCACACACACACACACACACTTTCTCTCTCTCTCACACACACGCACACGCGCACGCACACACATTCTCTCTCTCACGCACACACACACACACACACTTTCTCTCTCTCTCACACACACGCACACGCGCACGCACACACATTCTCTCTCTCACGCACACACACACACACACACTTTCTCTCTCTCTCACACACACGCACACGCGCACGCACACACATTCTCTCTCTCACGCACACACACACACACACACTTTCTCTCTCTCTCACACACACGCACACGCGCACGCACACACATTCTCTCTCTCACGCACACACACACACACACACTTTCTCTCTCTCTCACACACACGCACACGCGCACGCACACACATTCTCTCTCTCACGCACACACACACACACACACTTTCTCTCTCTCTCACACACACGCACACGCGCACGCACACACATTCTCTCTCTCACGCACACACACACACACATTCTCTCTCTCACACACACATGCACACACACACACACGGCCCTGTGAAACCCTCCAGAACTGCATGTAAAGACTCCTTGTCTCCCTAGTTTGCTTATGGAGACCACCAGTCGCCTAGCGCAGCCATCACCCAGATGACCTTCCTGCGCCTCTTATCGAAAGAAGCGTCGCAGAACATCACCTACGTCTGCAAGAACAGCGTCGGCTACATGGACGACCAAGCGCAGAACCTCAAGAAGGCCGTGGTCCTTAAAGGGTCAAACGACTTGGACATCAGAGCGGAAGGGAACGTCAGGTTCAGATACATCGTCCTTCAGGACACGTGCTCTGTAAGTGCTTCTGTGCTGTGCTGATCTGATGAGAGAGAAAATTCGTTTTTGCTAAAAATACTGTTATGGCACCAGAGGTAGGGACAGTTGTACCCTGTGTACAGACATCGGAGTCTGTCTGTCCTCGTTCTTTAGGGTAAACTTGAACGTGTGCCAGGGCATGAGGCAGGTTCACACACGTGTTAATGCGAAACAGTGAGGAAAGGCTGACGCTTTGGAACGTGCTCCAGCTCTTCTGCGAGTTCCTTTTTTAATCTCAGTCTCCTGCTTAAACTTCCCTGATTCTAAAATGTGTAATCAAGCTGAGGTAGGTTCTAGTTTTTACTGATTTGTATGTCTCCCTACTTGCATATCTAGTTATGAAGAAGGAAAACATTAATGATGAATTATAGTTTCATGTGAAAAGCAAATAGGCCTTCATCAGTCACGTTGTCAGTGCCCGTTCGGGGCGTTTCAGGAGAACACAGGGCAGCTCCTGGGTTCGAAGCGTGGAAGCACGTCTTCCAGGCCTGCCGACCTCACTGTGGGCGGCGCTCTCAGCTCTGAAAGCATTGCTTTGACTCATATGCTAGGACAACTGGCTCAGAAGTGCTGCCCAGCACCTCTGCAGTCACTCATTCACACTATTAACCCGCTGCACCCTTCAATCCTAGAAACGGAATGGGAATGTGGGCAAGACCGTCTTTGAATACAGAACCCAGAACGTGGCGCGCTTGCCCATCATAGACCTGGCCCCCGTGGATGTCGGCGGCACAGACCAAGAATTCGGCGTCGAGATCGGGCCAGTTTGCTTTGTGTGAAGCAGCCATGGTCCGTCGACAGCGAGCAACACCCTCACCACCCATGGCCCCACCGGTCGCGAGAACCTTGCCTGCGTGAAGCTGATCCTGAGACTCTTGAAGTAGTGGCTGGCTCCGGTCAGCGTTGTACATATGGTCTTACGTGCCTGGCCTTAGCCTTCAGAATATTTATTTTACTTACAGTCCTCAAGTGTCCATTGAGTTAAAGGATTTTTCAATACAGAAGTTTAGGTGTAAGATGACCAATGACAATGACCACCTTTAAGAAAAAGTAAACAGATTGAATACATAGTCTTTGTTTTCTTCAGTTTATTTCAATGTAATGATAAAGTTGCTTAGTATTTATGAGAAAACTCCTCTTCCTGGCTGGTAGCTTAGAGAGTGGGGTCTGTGAAACCACAGCACATGTTTATCTCCCGTGGCTGCAGCTGGACAAATAGAAGGTGGTGCCTCTTTGCGACCTCTCAGACCCAATGATCAATTAAAAGTGAAAGATGATCGATCAAGGGTTGCCCTTGAGATAGAAACCCTCGTGCATGTCTTGATATTGTATAACTATCAGAGAGACTCTTTAAAGAGAATCTTGAAAAAAATGGTTCCTCACTGTTTTAAATGGACTTTTTAAATAATATATATTCAGTGAAATTTCTTGAAAACAAAGTGAACTTAGATTTTATAAAGGGTGGTAAGTGTAGACTTTTTCCTCATTCAGATTTAAAGATATCTTTCCCTCTTGACTTAGCCTATTAATACAGCTGGAAGTCACATGAGTAAGCCATTGGGTACAGCACTTTCTTGTTTAAGAAAACATTGAATGCAAAACTTTCACACATACAACCTTATCAGCATGTCCAGGACTCAGAGCTGAGAGTGTTCCGATGGCAGTAGCATCGTCCCGAAGCCTGTAACGAAGAAAAGATTGTTTAGAAACCCAGCCGTGGAGCTGACTGATCGGATGTGATGATTGGAAATAGAACCATCTGGCCATTGAACTCTCCGAGGAAACATGACCAACATGTCTTAGCATGAGCTACCTCATCTCTAGAAGCTGGGATGGACTTACTATTCTTGTTTATATTTTAGATACTAAAAGGTGCTATGCTTCTGTTATTATTCCAAGACTGGAGATAGGCAGGGCTAAAATGTATTGTTATTTTTCCTTTAATGATGGTGCTAAAATTCCTCTATAAAATTCTTTAAAAATAAAGATGGTTTCATCAGTGCCATTTGTGAAAGCCTTAGACTTGGCCGTTTCTGAAAGAGGGGCCGTTGCTCCGTGCCTTCCCACCGTCCCCCCTCACGCTGTATCTGGGATGTTTGTAACCTGCCTGCTTCCGAGTCCGAGCATGTCGGGCCCCTGTGTCTCAAGGTTGTTGTTTTTCCTTAATTGCATTGTGTTGGCTCCATTTTAATTTCTTCTTTAACAATAAACAGCTGGGACCATCCCAAAGACAAGCCAACACAGCAGCTGTAGTCATGTATCTGCAAAGCATCGAATTAAATGCACGCTTTTGTCACGGCAATGGTTTTTGTTGCGTGGAATTCCTTTGAGCGTATTAGACCCACTTCATTTCCAGCAGTGGAAGGAAAGGTGCTGTGGTATTCCTTGCTCACCATTCGTTTAAAAAGTAAATCAACAAATGTCTCCCACCGACGATACGCTGGCTCATGTATGGAAGTCAAGCTGCAGCGTCACTCAGGAAAGGAAGCTTGACACTAATTGCCACTGCCTATGCCCCTAGGACCCTCCGGGTAGTATTATTGACAAAAAGAGAAAAGCAGCTGATTTTTCATGGTTGAAAAAACGGTGCTAATAAAACACGTGTCTCAAAGTGTATCACAGAAGAATTTAGCCTAACGTTTTCAGAGTTTTATTTCAATATTTAACAACATTGTTGTTCCCCAAATCGGTTTTGACTTGTGATCTGCATCTTGAATTTGAATATTTATATCCCTAAAGACATCTGTGAGTCTGTCTGCATTAAATCTTCTTTCAGGTTCAACTTATACAGGCTCAGTTCAGATAGATGAGCCAGAAACATGCGGTGATTCAAGTCAAAAACACTTATAATCTCCAAATATAGAAATTCTAGTTTATACTTGGAACTTGGGAATGTTTAACAAATAAAAGGCCATTCCAAAGGCCCTTGGATTTCTTGTCTGAGTTCTAGATTCACAGGTCCCATTAGACCAGTAGACTTTGTTACCTTCATGTCCAACAGACACCTCAAACTCTATGTGATCACAAGCAAAACAATCTTCATCTGGGAGGATGGTGACATTCATTTATTATTAATTTATTAAAAAACCCAAATGGGAATTCCAGAAATCAACTGAAATGAAGAAAAAGGATAAAAATAGCAAAGAAAGTATAAACAATGCTGAAAAATTCCCTGACGCGTAACACAAAATTCGGCAAGTTATGGCCAGGTATCATATAACTTATTCCAAATCGAAAAGAGATGCAAAGAAATTATAGGCAGCACCCCTTCTCACGAGAATGGTGTTATATAGCAGAAAGCAAGTGAACAAAATCTGGAGAGAATAAATGATTCTAACTACTGCCCCGAGGGTCTCTGCCCCACTGAGTAAAGAGCACTGAACACAGTTTTTCTTTGGAATTATGAAGAAAAAGCTAATTTGGACCTGAGGCCCAACAGCAGCAAACCAAGGCAATGATGCTTCAATGAAAACCGAAAGCCTGAGGAGCCTGGGGCATGCCAGTAAGTTGATTATTTTTTTTATCAAAATGGCTGGTGTCCCCAAGCGCAGCTTTTCCCTCAGCCTCCTTTATCAATGCATCATTTTATACAATATTCAAATGTCCGCATTCCCCAGGGATCAGTCTTGTCTTCATCTTCACACTCAATACTCTCTCACCCCCGGCCCTTATCCACGCCCATGGCTTCCATTACTATCTATCTAGCAAAAGCTTCACATGCATGCACACAGCCCAAATCCTCCTTGGAGCTCCGGAAATGCACGTGTAAATGTTTCACCATCTTCACTGGGTCGCAGAGGTACCTGTAGATCAAAATGCTCAAGAAAATGCACATTTCTGTCTCAGAGCTGATTGATGGCCTGTGAGCCCTATTTCGGGCAACAGCCTCCTCCTCGTCCATCTGTTTAGGCCAGAGACCTGGAGTGAGACTTGGCACCTCTCTCTCCCTCACCTTGCCAAAACCCTGGCATGGCATGTATTTTGAGTTTTGCCTCCTCAGTGTTCATGAAGGCCATACCCTTTTCTCCATTCCTACTGCCACTGTCCTAGTCCACATTATCATCGTTTCTCACCTGGGCTCCTTCAACAGCCTGCAAGTAGACACCCATTCTTGCCTCTTCTGATGCATTCTTCCCATGAGAACCAGAGCAAATCTGAAATGTAAATCTGAACATCTCACCAGACTCGGCCCCACAACCCAACACAACACATACGCAGGACACCTTAAAAGCTTCCGTGGTCTCTTCTAGGATGAAGCCAGGCATCCTGAAGCCCTGTGGAGCTCTGGCAGGCCCTGAGCCCTGCCGACTTCTCATGCTGTATTTTCCCACCATCTGCCTTCCTCTCTGCTCCACACACAATGGGCGTCTGTCTCATTTCCTAGAAGCCAGATTTCCACTCCTGTCAAAGACCGTTTGCATGGGTTTTCCTTGGCTCAGTTTACTGGCACTCATCTTTCAGTGCCCTGCTCATCGCTACCTCCTCACAAAACCCTTCCTAATCTCCACACCTTTCACTAGCCCAGGGTGACATCCCCTGTTGTAAATTTTCTTGGCAGCTGTACTTGTCTTTACAACCTATGATGCTTCGCACAGTTGTAGGATTACTTGTTTAGTTCCACTCTTCTCTATTAATTGTATTTGTTACAAGGGCAAGACTATTTACAAGGATCCAACATACTGTTTGTTATTTGTGTTTGTTCAAAAGACATTTAATAAGTGAATTATGAGAAGTTATATACTATGTAACTAGAAAATTACGTTTAGAGAGCATTTATACTTGATTTATGTACTAGTGTGAAGCAATTATTACTATTGTATTATTATTACTGTTTCTATTAGTATTATGGATATGAATATCCAAATTTATATGGAACCAAAAAAGACCCCAAATAGCCACAGCAATCTTGAGAAAGAAGAACAAAGTTGGAGGGATCACAATACCAGATATCAAGCTGTATTACAAAGCCACTGTAATCAAAACAGTCTGGTACTGGCACAAGAACAGGCATATAGATCAATGAAACAGACCACAATCCAGAAATCACCTCAAGCCATTATGCTCAATTAATATTTGACAAAGGAGGCTAGAACATACAATGGAGTCAAGACAATTTCTTCAATAAATGGCCTTGGTAAAATTGGACAGATACATGCAAAAAAATGAAACTACATCACCAACTTATACCATACACAAGAATAAACTCAAAATGGATAAAAGACTTAAATGTAAATAGTGAAACCATGAAAATCCTAGAAGAAACCATAGGCAGGAAAATCTCAGACATCTCTCATAGCCATATATATACAGATACAGCCCCTAGGGCAAAGGAAACTAAGGAGAAAATAAACAAATGGGACCACATCAAAATAAAAAGCTTCACAGCAAAAGAAACCATCAACAAAATAAAAACGAAGCCCACTGTATGGGAGAACATATTCACCAATGGTACATCTGACAAAGGTTTAATATCCAAAATACATAAGAAACTCATACAACTTAACAAAAGGAAGACAAGTAATTCCATTTAAAAAATGGTTAAAGGACCTAACTAGACACTTCTCCAAAGTGGACACACAGAGGCCGAGAGACACATGAACACAAGCTCAAAGGCACTGGTCACCAGGGAGGTGTCACCTCACACCTGTCAGAATGGCTGCCACCAACAAACCAACAAACGGCAAGTGCTGGTGAGGATGCGGAGAGAAGGGAGCCCTTCTGCACTGCTGGTGGGAATGCAGACTGGTGCAGCCACTCTGGAAGACAGTATGGAGCTTCCACAAAAAATTAAATATGGAACTGCTGTTTGACCCAGTGATCCCACTTCTAGGAATATATCCTAAGTGACCTGAAATACCAATCAGAAAGAACATATGTGTCCCTATGTTAATAGCAGTGCGATTTATAGTAGCTAAAGATCTGGAAACAGCCCAAGGGCCAATCAGGAGATGAGGGGATAAAAAAGCTGCAGTACATTTACACCACGGAATACTATGCAGCTGTAAAAAAGAAGGCTCTCTTACCCTTTAAGACAGCATGGAGGGACCTGGGGAGTATTATGCGAAGCG